ACTATTTCTTTATTTCGCTCTCTTTAAGCGTAATTTTACAATTTTCCTATTTTTCTTCTTCCTGATAACTATCTGTTAGAAAAGAAAAGAAACAAAGCTTTTGTATTATTGAATGATGAGTTTCTCTGTGCTTTGCCAAATACAAAATATCTGGCAGCTCCGAAATCCGATATTCAACGACGAAAATTCACCAATGTATACAAAACAATTTTCTTTACAACACAACAACGAATGTTGATGGAATGCAAAAAAAAAACGTGAACAGTGTTGCCGAAACAATAAATACCTAGCGAAGATTACCATAGGACATTTTTTTTTCTTCTATCGTCTTCTATAGGCCGAAAAAAAGCAACTCTGAAGAACGAAAGTCGGATAAATGAGAACGAAGAATAACAAATCGGGAAGAATAGAAGAAAGAAGTGTGGTTATTTAGCTAAACTTAAGATTTTTCGCATAAAAAAGTAATAAACAAAGTTTTTTTCACGTTCGCGCTTAAGAGAATGTAAATAACATTTACAGAAATACAAATTGTAGAAAGTAACAAAGAACGGAATAAAATAACAAAGAGTGAAAGCAGTTCATGGAAACAAAAAGGGCGCCCCAATTTCACCTACATCAGGCTCTGTTTTTAGCTCTTTAAAGTTCGCGGAGTGGAGCGGCATTGGAACTTCAGCAACATTAGTGGAAAATTATTAAAGTGAAAGCAGAGGAAAGCAGTTGTAAAAAAAGCATTTCAAGATACCTGGTACAAGCAGTGGTGGAAAACGGCAAGGGCCCACTGCGGAAATATCAATATTGGGAATAGCTGTAACATTATCAGTGGTTGCTACCAGTACTTGATCGGTGGATACGACGAGGGCACACAGCAGCAATATCATCAATATTGGCAATAACTGTAATATCATCAGTGATTGCCGTCAGGTCTTGATTGTGCGCGTTGGCTGGCGTAGAAGTACAGAAGAATTGGGTAAAAGTAAATGCAGGCAGGTTTATGTGATATTTTGTTTTCCTTCCTATTAACTTTGAGTTTTGCTAACATTAGTACATTTTTAATTCTTACCTTAAATTGAGCTGTTTCGCCGCCATTTAAAATATAGTTTTCCTTCAATGCATATGGTAGCGAATAAAGGAATACAAATTTTCACTTTTTATATGGATGCCCAACATATTGAAAGTTCCACTGTGGTTGCCCTTTGTAAACTTTTGCTTACGTACATATGTAGAGGCACAGAAAATCTGTTGATTTTAAAATTATTTTATTTATTTATGTTTATGAAAAATATTAAAAGCTTTTGACATGAATTCATTTACCTACTTGAATTCAGAAGACATGATTCAAGTTTTTTTCCATTTAGTGATTATAGTATACTATACTGCTCTACACCTTTTCCAACAGTATATTAGAAAAACACAAATGTATTTCGGAAAAGCAAAATTAATTTCAGAAAGGCACAAATGTATTTCAGAAAAACTCAAATGTATTTCAGAAAAGGGCAAATGCATTTCAGAGAAGCTCTTATGTATTTCAGAAAAGACCAAATGTATTTCAGAAAAAGCCAAATGAAATTCAGAAAAACAATTGTATTTCGTATCAAACGTATTCTTAAAATATGTTTCCAAAATACATTTGTGCTTTACTGAAATACAATTGTGTTTTTCTGAATTTCATTAGGCTTTTTCTGAAATGGGTTTGGCTTTTTCTGAAATACGTTTGAGGTTTTTTGAAATACTATTGGAAAAGGTGAAGATGGATGGTGCGCCTTATAATCTACCGTTGTTTTTGTTATTATAAACGGCATACAATTTCCCCAAAGAGTTTCTGGGAATCAGCTGGGGTGACAGTCTTTGGCCAGATATCGATCTGGATCGTTCCCATTATGTAGACCCGACTGTCGTAGGTAGCACGCAAGTTATGATTCGGGCTACTAAGTATCAGTATGTGTTTCTCTAAAGTAGAAGGTTGATCAGAGAAACTGTCGATAATTGTAGCATTCTCTACAAAAAGGGGACTTAGATCTCAATGTCAAGAAAGAGGTTAGATATTTAATCGTATTCTAAACTTGAATTCTAATTGGTTTCTAATGTCTAGTGTTTTTCTAATCATTTTCTAATCGGATTCTAACATAGTTCTCTGACCGGATTTTCGATTCGAGAACCACATAAGAATTCTAATGTGAAAACCAAGTTTTCTGTAACGTTGATGGCTGTGTTTGCTGTTGTTGTTGTAGCAGCATACAAATTCCCCAAAGACTTTTTGGGGAGTGTTGCTGGAGTGACAGTCCTTGGCCAGATATAAATCTGGGTCGTTCCGGCTACGTAGACCCGACTGTCGTGGGAACGGGCTGTGTTTGCTGGAATATTCTCTTGTAGATGAATAGGTTGTTAATACTAAAAGCTCTAAAAGGCTCCAGCTCAAAACAATCTTATAAACCTCGCAGTCATTCTCTCAACAATTTATAAAAATTTCATTGTAATCGGATGAACCGTTAATTTCTTCATGATCCAATAATCGGATCTAAGCCAAAATAGTATGGGACCACCCCTACGGCACCAACTTTCCGATAGAAAGAGTTATCGAAACCGGTTGACGTGGTCAAAAGTTATGCGGTAACATACATAAACAAAAATCCAACGAATTGATAACTTCTCATTTTTTGAAGTTTGTTACTCAATGAAGGATCTATAAGATAAGCGTTCATTTGGAGAAAGTTTTTGGGGGTTTGATCCCTGTTCTGAGCAACATCTAAATCAGAAAAATGTTGTTTTCCAATACCAGTTGCCCTTCGGCAGGCAAACCTCGAATGGAGTTTTGCCTTTAAAAGTCTTCTCAATAACTCAATCCGGAGGCGGAGGAAAATTGTAGGTCAAATTGGAAGAGAAGCTGCGCCAAACACTTAGCAAAAAGTGTCAGCGTCAAAATATTATTATTATTGCATTCAATCATGGCCTTATCTAAAATTTGTGTGCTGCAAAGTTATTACAAAACTTAATAAAAAATTAAGGTTTTGAAATTAAAAATTTCCAGGGTTTAAAATACACTGAAACTAATTTATTTATGTAATTGTTTTTAATTCTATTAAACCTTTTTGAATATTCCACCGCTCTTTGTAAAGCTTAATTACGAAAGTTAGGGCTTTTCTATATTAAGGTAAACAAAGAGATTTTATTTATGGAAAATTTTCGTCCGCTTGTTTAAATCTTTTTGTTTTGCATTTGTGCTTGTTTATTTGCTAACCACTATCACATACATAAATCATGTTAATGAAAATAATATTAATCAAAACTTTATTAATATTTTGCAGAGACGCTTATCATCAGGCGGTTATTATGAAAGGTTATCATTTTTCAACATTTACAAAAAAAAAAAATTTATCTAAAATTAGTTCTTATGCGACAAATAACTGAGAAATCCCATAATCGATCATAAACATTTTCAATGCGTAGTTATTTGTCTATTTAAGGTTATTACTACTTTCCCACCATTTTTTAAGTTGTATTTGTTTTGCATTTGCCTAATATGTAAATTATTTTGTGTTAATACACAAACTTTAACTTCGCGTGCCTAATCGTTTTGTAATTTTTTTGTCACTCAATTTTATTCGCAATCAAATGTAAACTTTTCTGCAAAAGATACAATGCTTTATCTATTTTTAATTTTATTATTGCGCAGGAACTTTGTACAAAATGTCTCGTAATAAGGAGAAGTACGAGAGTGCAAATAGACGACAACAGATTTTCATGTCCGCAGAAGATGTGGCTGCTGGAAAAAAATCGTCTTGGACTGGTATTGAGATAACAGGTATATACATTTATACCATGTTCTGACCGACAACGAAAACACTTTGAAAACGAGTTTTTGCTTACGTCCTTTGATTACAGTTTTTTTTACACAAAAACAACACCAACATACTTTTCCTTCATTTTCTTTTCATTAGCAACCTTTTAGTTTAATTCTTATTTTACTTTGGCCAGCCAATTAACAATAAATTTGAAATAGCGTATTAAAGAAGATAAAATATGATTTTCACTTCGATAAATAATGGAAAAAAATTAGTGCAGACACCAATTGGAATGAGTGGAGCGTGAGTTTTCAAGTAGTTTTCAAGTTTTAGGTCGAAAACCAGTTTTAGCAACGAAAACATGTTTTCGATGTCGGTCAGAACATGGTATTAGAAATAAGACGTGTAACTGCTCACCAATCTTTTGTTTATATAAGCTTTGAACTAAGAATTATATATTTATAATAGTGTATTACTAAAAAATATTTTTTATATTTATTATTTATGTATTTATTTAACTCTAGAACATTAGGCTATATTAACACTTATGTACATTAGACTGCATCACCCCCCATACAAAAAAAAAAATCGGCACTGTGTTTCCCTTGGAATTATAAAGTCTATTATATTTTAAGACATCCACCAAAATATTTCGGAAAAATATTAAGATTTACGTGAGCTGGACCGATTTGAAAATGCCTCCAAACATGGAGTGTTTTATGAATAAAAATAGTTTCTTAAAGATCTTTTTTTGAAAAAAATCCCCTCAAATGACAAAACGAGTTAAGCTAAAAAATTTGCATAAAAATATTTAAAAAAAAAAAATGTGAACGGAAACGTAATAATGAGATTTTTGATGCTGTTTTTTTAAATTTTTCCAAGACTGGTATAAGAAAAACTTGAATAACTGAACCTTATTTCTTCCGATTTAGACTTATGAGGTATCATTGGAAAGGTATTTTATTACCCTTTGCTAATGATCTCATTCTAAGGATGAAAGAGAAGGGTAGGATGAACGAACGTCATTCAAGGTTGAATTAATATGTGTTGGTATTTGAAAAAAAAACGTGGGACACGAATGACTTTTTTTGCACAGAAATAAAAATAGTGGGAAAATACCTTTCTACTGAGATCCCATAAGTCTAGATCAGAATAGTTTTGGCCCAGTTATTAAAGTTTTTCGTAAATCAATCTTTGAAAAAAGTAAAAAAACAGCATCAAAAATCTCATTATCACGATTCCGTTGAAAAGTTTTTTAAATATTTTTATGTTTTGTCATCTGAGGGGACTTTTTTCAAAAGGTTCTTTAAGAAACTATTCTATTCCATTTTTGGAGGTACTTTCAAATCGGTCCAGCTCACGAAAATCTTAATACTTTGGTGGACGTCTTAAAATAAAATTAATTTTGTAATCCCGGCGGAAAACCCGCAACTTTTTTGGTGATGCAGTCTAATGTATATGTTTTTTTGTAAAACCCATTTAATAAAATTTATTTAAATTTTTGCAGGTTGTGTTCGCAACATCAGTCCATCATTGTGGGAATTCGAACACCTAACAGCATTGTATCTTAACGACAATCAGCTGTTACGTTTGCCTGCTGACATTGGTTTGCTATCTAATTTGCGCACGTTAGACTTATCAAGCAATAAGCTGCGCAGCTTACCAGCTGAATTGGGCGAGCTAATACAGCTGAGGTAAGTAACTTACTGTACTTACTGTTGAAAATCTTCTAAACGAGGGTGGAGTACGTGTTTAAGTAGAAATCGCATATCGACACCTGAGTGGAAGATCGACATATCTCGGCAGCCAGTTCGAAAACGTCCTATCTCAGAAAACTTTTCAAGACTGCCCTATTTAAGAAT